AGACTCACAATCAGATTTCACACGCGATATTATTTGCGTTAGAATGTCGTTCACGCCGACTTATCATTTGCGTTATACTGTGCTCGCGTCGACTCATTAATTGCATTGAAATGTTGTTCGTGTCGACATATTATTTGTGTAGAATATTGTTCGCATCAACTCATTAATGGCGTTAGAATATCGCTCGGGTTCTTTGATTATTTGCGTTTGAATGTTGCTCGCGTCGACTATTTGCGTTAGAATATTGCTCGCGTCGGCTATTTGCATTAGAAAATTGCTCGCGTCGACTATTTGCGTTAGGATATTGCTCGCGTCAAGTGATTACTTGCGTTAGGATGTTACTTGCGTTGGCTTATTATTGCGTTCCATTATTACTCGCGGCAATTCCGTACCTTTACTCGCGTTAGTTCTAGTATTTCGCGTTATGCTGAGCGCCTCGGCGCATCATTCTTCGCGTTAAAAAATTACTGGCGATAATGTATGTTGCGTTTGTTCGTAATTGCGTTGGGACGTTGCTTGCGCTACTTACGTTAGACTAAGGTTAAGATAATTTTGCGACAGAATCCCTGCGCGACTTTGGACGTTGCGTTCACGCGCTCCGAACGTGACGCACCATCATTTCGCGATACTTCACGTTCGATCCTACTTCCTATAGTGGCACTATTATTTCGCGTCTACTCCGATTATTTCGTATTCGGTCGTATCTTTTGCCGATGTTCTATATTAGTTTATTCTCTTATTTGGTAACCGCGCCCTCCGCGCGTTTACTGTAAAATAACGTAATGCTCCGTTCATTTCTTCATTTATTGTTTGTTGGAATCCTGTCGTCGGCGTTATCATTTATTTGCTTGATTTCTACGGTTGAGTAATGGAAGCCGAACTGGTACTTAGTATTTCACCTGAGAGTTACCTCAGAATAAACGTTGTTATTCATTGTTAACTACCGGAGTTCGTGATTTATGCATCACCCCGCCGAATATCGTGCTGCCCTTCATCAACCCCGCCCATAATCGTTAGGTCGAGTTGGCTGATTCCTCGCACACCGAAATTATCGCGTTTGGCGTCTCTCTTTGGTTTTTCGCGATCTTACACTGTAAAAAAATGTTGTAAAATTACATGTAATTTTGAGACCCACTGTAATAGATGTAAATTTCCACACATTTTTAATTTGTGTAATTGTAATATAAAATTACTTTTTCCTTCCGTACTGTAATTTTGTAAAATTACAACTATTATATTGTATAATTACAACTATTAGTGGGTCTCAAAATTACCCACTATAACAGTTGTAATTTTACAAAATTTTTTTACAGTGTAGCGTACGTTAGTGGACGCGAAATTACGCGTCTGGCGCCCAACAATAAAATTCTGGTTATTGTATCGTCGAATGTGCGAGAGGACCGTCAGAGAGGCCTACCATCCTTCTCTCCCTCACCCTTTTGATCCGTCGTGCGCCTCGGGCGCAAAAAAGACGTGACAATATATCGAGCAATATATATATAGGGCATTCCACGCCAATTCGCAAGGAGTCAAACTTCGACCTTTCTATTTTTGATGGCTGCTCGTTTTTTAACAGGTCTTTACGAGTACTATACCCATGTAAGAACGTATTTCTATAATAAATGTAGCGTTTCTGAAATAGAACCTGCGCAAAATGAGAACTGCAAAATTTTCAATAAATTTTTTTGCCTATTAGACAGCGTCTAAGAAAACAAATTCATTGAACATGTTTAAAAAAAAATTACTCCAAATTTTTATAATAATAATTTTAAACCAGTAAAGTAAAAAAATGAATTTGAATATCTCAAAAATCCTATTTTATATTTCTTTGAAATTTATAAGAAATATTCTAGGGAGTAGTAGAAAAATTTTAAGACCGGTCCGAAGTTGCGCAGAAAACTTGGGAATTTTTTATAGATTTTTTTGTGAGGCAGTAGTAATATTTGACTCACAAAAGTGCAGTTAAAAACGCGTTTCAGACAATTCTGAATTGATTTTTGTATGCGGATTATGCGGATGGATTGCGGGATTCTCACTTGAAAAGAAATTACGGTCGAAACGTTGTAAGATTTAATATATTAATTTGACCAGTTGGGTCAAACAAAAACGACTGTTGTTTTGAAAAAAAAAAAAAAAATAGATTTGTGAGGAAATTTTATTCAATAAGTACATTTATTTATGAACATATTATTTATTATTTTATTATTTTATTATTTTGTGCTGAGTATAATTATCCGAAAATGAGTAATCTTTAACAATTAATTTATAATTTTTATTTGATATGACGCAGTGGACACGTTGAGTCTGAGGTATTCTTTTCGTTTGATCGTACCGACCTGTCAAAAATTCAGCGACGATTTCATAATTCTTTTTGTCCCAATACTTGATAGTGATGGATGGCAATGTGCCCGGTTCATTAGCCTAGTTGAATAAATCCATCGGCTCCAAAATTAGTTGGTCGGTAGGACGTTGAAGACTTGCTCGCGCAGCTAAGTGTTTCAGCGTCCCACCGATCCCATCACATGGCCCTTTGCCATGAGCAGTGGCAAAGAAGTGCCATTTAACGCGAACACCAAAGTCGACCTCGTGGTGGTAAATGTTCGAGAAATTTTTAAAATTTTTGAATTGCTGCGGTGTTTCGTCAGAAAAATAAATTATTTTCGAGATGTTTGGTACGAAAAACTTCATGAATTCGTTCACAAATCGCGAAAACGCCCAAACCGTGATGGCGTCGTGATCCAAACAATCCGAGATGATCGTAAGACTTTTGTGGCTCAAGATTCCATTGAATTTGTAATATAAAACTACAGGATAGACAGTCGCCTGATTATTGTTCCAATGAAATCCTGGGGCCGCGTCCCGAATAATGAATGCATAGTTTTCGGCGAAGTCACAAATTACCATACATTCATCATTTGCTAAATTATCTTTGACAAATCTCTGATAACTAGATTGTTGCTTAGTTATGAAAGAATATTGCAGAAGAGATCTTGCTTCATTGCAGAAAACTTCTACAAATTCCTCAGCGCTGCAAGTCTTTGTTATTAGAGTGCAGCGCGACTTCGTTATCCAAGACTCGTACGTAACGGATTCGACATTATTTTCGCCGAATAATCCTGTTATCATTCTTTTTAAATCCGCATCTCCAAGACATTGAAATGACAAATAGGATTAAAATCGCGGCATATCAATAGTTGTAAAACATCCTCGTACATCTCGAACTGGACACTTTGCTGGCGTGAAAGAATTTGCAACCTAAAAATAAAAAATCTTATTGTAAAATTAAATTAAAAAGTAGACTAATTAATTAATTTGTTCCGGCTGTATACTTGATTATAAAATTTTTTAATATTCTCTACACACTATCGTAAAAAAACAATAAAGCGATTAATAAAAAAAAATTGTAGAAAGATCACCAATAAATCAATACCTAAATTGATCGGAACGATACATAGCGGATTGTTCGATTGTGTGTCGCTTCAATCGAGAGTTTAATGAATATTACAATTCTTTAGGCCTGAAAAAAGTGAACAATTGATTATTGTTCACGACAGTGTTCTATGAGTAACATGAGTTTAATAAATCTGTTATCTGTTAATTGTTTATAGATCTATGTGTATAGATAATATTTATATTTTCAAATTAACAATGAGAATTTCACCATAATGTTTTCCACAAGAATTATTTCTTAAACCGCATAATCAATCACTACAATAAAAAAAATTTCCGGCACAAATTAATCATTTGCGTGATAAAAAACATGAATTGAATCACCTGTCATCATTAATTTAAAGTTCTGGTGGCTCGAACAAACGCACACAGTATCCCTCCACTTCCTGCCAGAACGCAGTAATCAGAATGCAGTTCTAAATGATGAGAATCCGATAGACATATCGAGGTGGATTTCTTTGAATCGTTGATATAATTCTCTTAGATTCCCAAGAAGAAGTCGCTCTTGGTGCTGAACTCGAACACCCTCATTATTACGACGAGGCAAGAACTCTTTTTTACCGGGCCGGAGAGAACTCACGTCATCATCATGGTAAAAATTGACCACTTCCCGCACTAGCTCGGCTGGCAAACACCTGCCTAAAGTGAGATGATAAATTTTATTTTATTCACTTTTATTAAATTTACCTCTTATTATATTCACCTTTTCTTTTTAGGTCCATGGATAATACTTCTCCCTGTGTTGCGAGATTTTTTGCTACCTTTGCCCTGTGATATGTCGAACCAATTGTCTGCGCCATGTGCGAAATACTCCAAGTCTTTGGTAGCATTGTCATCAATTCAATTTTCCGTTCATATAAAGTCCCCGAGGCATGGAGGGCTTCTTTTTTTTGGGCGATCATCACAGCTAAGTCGTGAATAGCTATTTCAGTTTCACCAAACTTGACACCAAACATTTGCTTCAAGCTTTGTGATACTCG